CGCCCAATGTGGAAGGGCCGCAGTGCGGCCACCAGGCCCTGAAGGCTGCCCTGAAAGCCACACAAAGACAACCTGCTGCTGGAGAGCAGGCATGCGGTGCTCCAGGAAGAGGCTGGAGGTAGGAAAGGAAGGTCATGGAAGGGAACAATTGCAAGAGGAGATCCCAAAGGTTCTGAAAGCAGAGGCGGTGCTGGGGCTACTGGGGGCCAGATCAGAGACACAAACCCGCAGGCCTGTCACCCAGCAGCCCCGGCACAGCAGACCCAAACCCCGCCATTACAGAGCTGGGGATGCTGGGGACAGAATCAGAGACACAAACCTGCAGGCTCGGCACCCAGCAGCCCCAAGGCCCACCACCTTGGTGCCTGGGCTGCTGGGGCCCTGATCGCAGACACAGATCCGCAGCCCCAGAACCCAGCAGCTCCAAGCCCTGTCATCAAGGTGCTGGGGCTGCTGGGGGTATCAGAGACACAAACCCGCAGGCCCAGCACCCAGCAGCCCCAAGGCCTTCGCAGCAGCGCTAAGGAGCAGCAAGCCGAGAGGTAGGAAGCAGCAAGCAGGTGGGCGGTAAGGAGGGAGGGGATTTTATTTAGCATAATATTTTTAACACTAATTTTAAAGTGCACACTCAGTACTTGTGGTAACTGGTGATAATAACAATACTATCAAATCGGAGGCCACTTACTGTGTGTTCCCTAAGCCAGAAACTTCTTTTAGAAATAACATAAGATGGCAGAAGGAAGAAGTGTGTTCCATATCATGGTTTACCTTATTGTTATTCTTCTTTCTATACCTCAGGTTTTTTCCTCCATCACCTTGACCCACAAGAAGGACCATGGGGAATGTGTATGCAATAACATGGCCTGGAGAGTTACTAGGCCAAGACCAACTGTGGCATGCCATGGACACATTCTCTTTCCTCTCTGTCAGTTCTTGACCCTCAGTTCCTGACCTCTAGTTGGCTTCTATTCCTTCTTATTATTTCAATACTAGGATCAATTGCCCAGTGCTTTTTTCACTGGGCTGCCTCTGAGCCATCTATGCATGTTCTTGCTCTATAATATGAAAATAGTATATCTTGTCTTGAAGAAGCATTGGCAAGATTAAATCAGAAGATGCTTTGTCCAACACCTAGTATATAAACTCAACAAGTTACAGATATTGCAACAGATTATCTACTTATATTGCTACATTGTCTAAAAAAACATTAATTAAAATGAAAGCATCTTCTCTTTGCAACACATCTAAATTGCACTGACTTATAAGTCAGCGAGTAAAGACACATGTTTCTCACCACTAATGTCTTTCACTTTCCTACACATGACAACTATAAAGGATGCTGATGGCCTTAAATTTTATACTGAATTGAATTTTGTATTTTTTTTTTACTTTCCTTCTATTAAGTCCTTTTGACTTTGGGTTCACTGCATTATATATTTAAGTTTTGTCATTGTCTCAAATTATTAAGTTATTTTGAAATTTGATTCCCAATTTCCCACTTGTCTCATCACGTGGTACTTTATTCAGCCAGATATTGAACGCCCATAGCCAATTTTGTGCATTGATCTGATATGCAACTTTTCTGTGTGTAAAATGAGTTTGCCATTAAACAAACCCATGCAACGAGTTAATTCATAAGTTGTTAAGATACATCATCATAAATTGCTAAGTCTGACATCTCAGTTAATAAAAATAAAATAGTCTCTCTCTTTTATCACTTTGAATTTTTTTCAAATATAATTTATTTGGAAAGGAAGATAAACAATCCAATAAAAAAAATGGGCAAAGGACCTAAATAGACACTTTTCAAAAGAGGACATATGAAAATGTGCTCAAAGTCACTAATCATCTGAGAGATGCAAATCAAAATGACAATGAGGTACCATCTCTCACCTGTCAGAATGGCTATCATCAACAAATCAACAAACGACAAGTGCTGGCAAGGGTACGGAGAAAAAGGAACCCTCATGCACTGATGGTGGGAATGCAGACTCGTGCAGCCACTGTGGAAAACAGTATGGAATTTCCTCAAAAAGTTAAAAATAGAACTCCCATTTGATCCAGTAACCCCACTTCTAGGAATATATCCCAAGAAATCAAAAACACCAATCAGAAAGGACATATGCACCCCTATGTTCATAGCAGCACAATTTCCAATAGCTAAGATTTGGAAACAGCCTAAGTGCCCATCAGCAGATGAGTGGATGAAAACACAGTGGTCTATTTACGCAATGGAATACTGCGCTGCTATTCCATTTGCATCAATATGGATGGACCTGGAGAGCATTATGCTAAGTGAAATAATCCCATCGGAGAAAGATAAATATCACATGATCTCACTCATTTGTGGAATATAATGAATAACATAAACTGATGAACAAAAATAGGTCCAGAGACAAAGAAACACCGAACAGACCGTCAAACCTCAGAGGGAAGGAAGGGGAGGGTGGCGGGGGTGGGGAGCATAACCAATGGACACGGACACTAGGGTGGTGTGGGCTTGTCCTGGGGCACAGGAGTGGACAGGGAGAGGTCAATGGGGGAAAAAGAAGACATATGTAATACTTTAAACAATATAAATAAATATTATTGATATTTGAAAAAATATATATACATAATTTGGACCATTTTTATTGAACTATGGAATACTCACGAAAATGTTCACAAATTATAAATGCATAGTGAGAATAATTTCACAATCTGAACACACCCCTGTGGCCATGCTGCCTGTTTAACTCTTGAATGCAAGAGCACAAGCCCTTAAGTCCCGCAGTTCTCCTCCCCATCTTTCACATTTAGAATCTGTGAACATTTCCCACAAAAACTTAGAATATTCACAGGGTGGTGCAGTAATCGGACAAAGATAAATCTTGAGATAAAGGGCTGTTATGTGTTTCCACCAAGCTTGGGTATAAAATCTCACTTTCTTTTTAAAATTATTTATTTATTTATTTTAAAATTTATTTTTAATTACAATTGACACCCAGTATTATGTTATTTTACATGTACAACATAGTGATTCAACATTCATATACTTTACAAAGTGAGCACTATAATAACTCTAGTGACCATCTGTCATTGTACATGGTTATTATGATGTACAATCTCACTTTCTAAACAAAACTAATAACTATATATTATAGGCTTTATTATTCATATAAGAGTAAAATGCATGTAATGATTAGCATAGTGGCCATAAGGGAAGAATTATAAATACATTAATATTAGGTTTTTATGCCATTTGTGAAATGGTGGTAATTCACATAGAATAATGATTTTAAGCAATAAAATAAATTTTAAAAATGAGTCCCTCTTCAGGGTGTTTCTGTTTTAAATCTTGAAGTTGTGTCTATCTAAAATTATTGTTATGGGCAGTCTGGTGTTCTTACAAATTTGGATGGAAAGACTCTAGCTAAGAATCTCATAAATGTCTGATCAAAGAACTAAAGAAAATATTTAGTTCTGACACCTTTTCCTCTTTTGGATCCCATCACTCGTCTCTCCTGAGTATTTCACTAGTTAGACCAACCCTTTTACTGCACATCATAAAAAAGTGAAAATTGTGTTAAGTTTTGCTGTGGGCACAGGAGAGTAACTGCATAGCTATTGTCAGGGCAGATTGAGCATGCCTATGCCATTAGAAATGCTATATTTTAGGAACCTATAGGAAAAAATACCTTAAACTAGTTGAGCTGTCTTTAATCTCATAATATTAAATACCCTGCACTTAAAAAAATAGAGAGAGAAACACCTGGCATTTCAACTTAAACTAAAAGTGCAGGAGGATTAATAATGAGGCCAAGATGGATCTGGAGAGCATGTTGCTAAGTGAAATAAGCCAGACAAAGAAAGATGAGCATCAAATGATCTTATATGTGGACTCTAATGAACAAAATAGATCCAGAGACATAGAAGTATGGATCTCAAAGATAAGATAGGTCCGGGGGGTGGAGGAAGTGGGTGGGTGGGAAGAGATCAATCAAAGAACTTGTATGCATATATGCATAACCCATGGACACAGACAATAGAGTGGTGAAGGCTTAAGCGGGAAGGGGGAAGTAGAAGGGGACGGGCTAAAAGAGGTCAATGGGGGGGGGGAGGAGAAAAATGTAATATTTTCAACAATAAATCCAAAAAAATAAAATAAATAAAAATAATAAAAATAATGAGGCCAAGGTTGTGAGTAGGTTTATTTTCATAGAAGGCATGATTTCATGTAGGTCAGCACTATGGTAGGATGCAGTTAAAAAGGCACATGGACCAGAGCCCACTAGAAGAGTTGGCAGAGCTCAATAGCACAAAAAAATAAACTCAAAGAATAAAGGAAAAATTGTGTCTAATAGTGTGCTTGTAGAGGTTTAGCAATCCAAAGTGTTATTTTCAAATAATCTTTATGTAATTTCTATGTTAGGTGATATGTTCATACCATTCTGAATCCAATTAACCTAAAATAAAAGAAATGGTATGGGTACTTTTGAGAAAATGGTAATTCTACATATGGCAAAAAATTGTTCTTTCTTTTGCTGTAACTATTATTTTAATCTACTCCAAGCCTGGACTGCATTTCAGACACTTGAAATGATAGAAAATGACTGTCTGGTTGTTCAAATATTTTCTCATAGACTTGATGAACAGTGAGAAAATGCCTCCACTTGGGTAGTTAAGAGTAAATGATTACAGTTAAGTCCCTTCCAGAAATAGTCTTTATAAAAAGCCAAATTCTGAATCCCTTAGATATTTTATAATGTTTTGAAATTCCTTATTTGATGCTGTAAGTTAACATAAACTGATGAACAAAAATAGAGCCAGAGGAAAAAAGAAACATTTCAGAATATAATAGAAGTAATCCTGTTATTTTCAGATTTTTAATATTTCCTATAACTTTTGTGATATTATATTATGTTAGTACAGTTATGGTATTATTATATTTAAAATCCTTTTTTCCTTGAAATATTAATGTTTACTGCATGTAAATGGCTAATTATTTTGTATCTACAATCTGGTAATAGATTTATTTTGTATATAGTAAAAATAAAAAATAATTTTAAAAGTCATATTTAAAATTTAATGCAAATAGTAAGACTAATATTCTTTTTGTAAAATATCGAGCTCTAGTTTGTATTGTTATAAACTGTTTCCCTTTTCCCAAGTCATTGAAATATCTTGTATGTTAGACTCATATTATCCATGCTCAACTATCCACCATCATCGCCAAAAAGTTCCCCAGGACTTTTGGATATCTAGTGAGTAATGCTGTAAATGTACTTCTTGACTTAGATTTCTGTATTTGGAAAAGGTTCATCTTTAGAGAGAGGAAAGAATGAGGCCAACTCAGAAAGAAAATTAAATCACTGACAAAAACTGAAGAGGATAAGCTGTTCAAGAACTTGTATTCTAGTAGTTCCCGAAGGCTTATATAGCTTAGGGGCCAGAGAAGCAAAGAAAAAGAAAAAGAAAAAAGAAAAAGGAAAAGAAAAGACTATTTATTTGGGATATATCTTGGGAGGGATATAATATTACATAAAGTTATAAAAATGTTTGGTGGTCTTAATGAAAAAAAAATGTTAGCAGAACTGAAATTAAACTGAATTCTTTCTCTTGAAAATAAAATCCAATACAAAAAAAATGCATTTTTTATGTTCTATCTATATATACCAGATGGATTATTACTTATTACCTATACTTGCAAAAATGTTTCTCTAGTAAATACATTTTCTAATCAGTGGTAAACATGAAAATATATTACATGCATGCAGATGTCTGTGTGTGTGTATGTGTGTGTATTATATATACATGTGTACATACATTTATGTGTATATATGTGATAATTATGCAGAAATTACTATTTTTGACTGATGACAAGCTCTTGCAAGGAGCTAAGGTTTCTGTAGGATGAAGGTAAAATTTTTTTTAAAAGTGGAAATTGTTTAGAAGCAGGTACCTGTAATATCTGCAGGCCATGATTTACAGCAGGAAAAGGATAACTCTATACTGAGTTATAAATAACCACCACCAACAACAAAAGAGAACTCTCTGCACATATGAGAGATGCACTTTACAACTTAGGAAGCTTTCCCAGGCATATACTCATTTGATTCCCTTAACATTATGTGAACACTGTTACAAGTACGCACAGCAAATGCTACAAGTTTAATGTAAAGAACCATTTTATCATATCTATAGATTCTGTGGGTCAGAAATTTGGAAAAGACACAGTAGGCAATTCTTTTTTTCTTTTGTATAATGTCTAGGGATTCAGTCAGGAAACATGAAGGCTGAGGTTGAATTGTTATTATGTGGGGCTCATTCATCTGGGCTGCCAGAACTTGAAGACTAAAGCTGACAACAGAAAAAACATCTATACATGGCCTCCCTTGTGACTTGGCATCCTTACAGCATGACAGACTCAGAGTAATTGGACTTCTCACATGGTCACCCAAGGATCCAAGAGCTAGTGTTCTAGTGTAAAAGGCAGAAGGAGCATTGCTTTTTGTGATTGGGCCTTAAAAATCAAGCAGCATAATTTCCATACCATTCTATTCATTAAAAGTGAGTCACAAACCCATTCAGATTGAATGGGATAAGAATTAATGTCCATGTATTAGAAAGGAAGTGATTGTGTTCGAGGAGGACTTGTAGAATATGGGATATTTTTGCAGCCATCTATTGAAAATACAATATGCCACAGAAGATAAAGGTTCAAAGAGATTGAATGCTTTGCTGACCCAGAACAGTAAGGTAAAACCAACAGCAGGCAATTGACTGGAAGATAACATTGTGATCTACAAATCATTGCTCAAAATCTATAGCAAAACAACTAAGATGAAATTGTATCACAGCCACAAAAAGGAAGTATGGACTTCAATATAACAACAATACTTTAAACCTTCAAAATTTAAAAGTTAATCTTTGATACCTATTTTTCTTTTGAGGACCCTTCTTTGTCCCCCATCTACATTAATTTCTGATATCCTGGTTGTTCTGGGCTATATTCAACATTCAGGAAATATCTTAATCTAATGCAATGTTAGAGTAGATTTCCCATTGCCAAAATCATAAAAGGAGATTTGTGTTGTACAATGTAATTATATCTGGTGGGACTGTTTCACAGCAGACATATATATTTCCTGAGGGTTTTCATCAGTGTCGAGTCAATTTTTGTCTGGTGTGCTGCTTATTTCTCAGCATGCTGGATCTTGGAGAATTTTCCCTGCAGCAGCTGAGTGTCGTCAATGAGGAGATATGTCTTAAACAAGAGCGCTCTCCCATGATGGTATTCAAGATCCCGAGGGGAAATGGGCCTTCACTGGAGATGCAATTGGAGAAGGACAGTAAGGATTTCCCAGCTCAGTAGCTGAGGCAGACTTCCTGTTCCCAGAGCAGCAGCATCGCTGGGGGAATTATGACAGGATGTTTCCCAGGTGCACTGATGATGTGGTGAGCGGAGCCCTGGCATCTTAGGAAGAGAAGGACTCAATGGCAAAAGGCAAATGTGTTTCATACTTTGTTTATAATTGTGACTCAACTAAATTACATGTCATTAAACCCATATTCAGGCTACTTCAGTCTTCCTAAATAGAGGACCTATCGTGTTCCCACCATCAGTGGATGCCTAACTAACAAAGCATTAAAGTGAAGAAAAGATTGTCCAAATGACTCTCCTTATGTTCTTTTGGATGACTTCTTGCTATGGTCCTTTTGCTTCATATTTAGCATTACCAACCACATCTATTTTGCCCAGGTCACAGCTGTTCTTTTTAGGCAGTCAATATTTTTCTCAGTCTTAATAAATCCAGCAAGGCTACTGATATAAATAGCTTTCAGAAGGATAAAAACTAATAGGCAAACAAAGGGCTTAATCTTTTACAAAATTCAGTTGCATTGAGACATAGTAGATAAATCATATTTGAGAATCAGTCCATACTTTGTGACTGTCTGACTTTGCTGAATTCCTAGTCTTTCTGAATTTTAGTTTCACCTCTTCAAAATCAGTTGTAAATGTATCACATAAAATTGCTATACACTTTAAATTAAAAATATTTTTTAAAATATATTTTATTGTTTTATTACAGAGAGGAAGGGAGAGAGATAGAGAGCTAGAAACATCGATGAGAGAGAAACATTGATCAGCTGCCTCCTGCACATCTCCTACTGGGGATGTGCCCGCAACCCAGGTACATGCCCTTGACCGGAATCGAACCCGGGACCTTTCAGTCCGCAGGCCGACGCTCTATCCACTGAGCCAAACCGGTTTCGGCTAAATTAAAAATATTTAAACAAATATAAAATCATCTCAAAAATTATGTATGTAATATTAACAAAGTTGGTTAAAATTGGCAGTTCCTTGTTCCCAGTCCAAGTATGTCCAAGACAGGGCACAAAAATCTACATTAATAAGTTCCCTCTACAACTCCAGTCTTGGAATAATACCTTAAGTAGAACACACTACTCAATAGAGATAGAAATGAAGAAGAACAATTATACTTTTAAAAAGTATAGAAAAACCTAACATGAGCAGATATCCTTTCAGAAGCTTTATAAAGTAATGCAAGAATAATCACACAGTTCTGAATAAGCATGATTGGTTACTGGACATGCTCATGTTCTTTTTCTTTATAAACATAAAAGATGTTTCACCAAGAAGCAAATTATAAACTGCTTTTCTAGAAGTAGACCCTGGACTCAAATTAGGTAAACGTAGCTTGCTCCTGAGCATTAAGGGTCCCGCTAAACTTTCTGTTACATCAGATTGTAGTTCCCTTGCTGACAGAGTTTTGCAAATCTCTATCCCATGATGTCAGCTGTTGATGAAAGGTCAGACTCCATTCAGGTAGTGACATGGATGTCATTGATTTACTCTTCCCTCCCACACACATGCAAAAGACATTTGCTCAGCTGTCAGCTAATACTAGGGCTTGTGTCTGCAGTTACCATCCATCTGCTGGAGAGTTCAGAATGTCCAGCTCTCTGCTCTCTCCAACTAGCTTAGCTAACGTATGCTCAATTCAGGTCACAATCTTTTACTTCTTGCTTATGATGGTGAGAGCAGTTTGAGTCACTGAAGAAAAAGAATGAGACACATGTAATGGTACATATAGTCAGAATTTCATCAGTCATTGAGATTCATTAAATGCAAGTGTGTGTAATTATCTAATACAGACTCATCTCCTGCTACATAGTATGTTCTTTATTTGTAGTTTGTAAATTTTGACAACAACAATGAAACTGGGGCTTAGATTGCTAAGTACCAGATGGGCTTAAAGTATCATTTTTGAGGTTACTTGATTTGTTCGTAATCTGGATTGTGATAATGGTTTTACAGATACACACATATGCCCAAACGTATCAAACTGAACGTTTTTAAAACATGCATTTTATTTTATGCCAATTATGCCTCATTAAAGCTGTAAAAAACAAACAATGAACAGAATGCTACATAATATGTTCACAATAGCACAGACAGAAAACAGTGACTCTAATGTTCTCTCTTTAGTGTCCTACTCACCACACCAGGCAGCAGAGCAGTGGGGGAAGAAGGCATGGCCTGGCTGGAATGAAAGGAGATGGAGTGAAAAGGTGTTTTGGTTTCCCCAGAATATTAGCACCTCCTCCTGATTTGCAAACCTGCAGGAAGCCATCCATTGTCAACATTATCATGGAAGTGCAACAAGGAACTTGGAAGGCCTATGGGACTTGGACGATTAGCAGGGCTAATAGCATGCACCAACTGTTTTGTTGAGATACTGATGGCTCGAAGCAATTTCCTTACCTCATAGCCTCAAAGTAAATCTTTACTGATCTTTTTACTGACCTTTGAGACAGTCTGCCTGCTACTGTTTGCCTTGCTTAACTGAGGGCAAAGATGTGTATCTAAAATTGAGTAAAAGCTACCAGGTCCAGGGCCTGTATGCAGTCCTAAAGGGCAAATGTGTATTCAAGTGAATAAAAGCTGACAGGTCCAGGGTTTCAGGGAGCTTCTCCATCAGAGAGAGGTTTCCACTTGGCCCTCATGCCTTCTAAATTCATATTTCTTGTCTAGTGTTTTCATTTGTGCATGGCCCCTTCTTCAGACCCTGAACCCTTGCTGCAAATGGATGCGGCACAAACCAACTTGAGAAAATGAAGCCCAAACTGTGGTACTTGGATTCCAAGTTGCCCAGGTGATCTGCTCTGTCATTTGTTTGTGGGGATAGAGATCCTGGTGGCATTGGCAGGTTCACCCCCAATGAGGTGTCTTCTAAAAGAGAAAATTCTGTGCCACAGCCTCAGACCACACCTCAAGTACATGTTAGTCAAAGGAGACTGGGATGACAAAATAACATGACCTTAGCTTTTGGCTTGTTCTGCTTGTTTTCCCACAAAACACAGCTCATCATAAATTCTCTAGAGAAATAATGCTCTTATTTTTGTAAATATTGATAATTAGTTATAGTTCACTATTTTATTGAGGAATAATGGAAGCTTCCGACACTAGCCACATTATACATTATAGGACATGAATCAAGTAAACCATGAGGTGTGCCAATATAATTTCAAAATTTATAAGAAAACATTTTTCTATCATCCCACTTTAAAACTGTTAGCTCAAATGAAAATAGGAATCATTTTATTTCTTAATGATGGAGACTTACTAGTAGAGAAATTGAAACGCTAGCTGTTTCTTTTCAGCAATTGGCCCAAGTTTTCCCTAGTCAGTCCCGTAGGTCACACCATGTTTGTTTGATAGGTAATATAAATTCACTGGGTTTGGAGATTTAAGCTGTTAACTTTCCAAACTTCTCTCTTAGCAGACGAGTTCAATCAGTATAAAGAACACAATGAGGCGTGGAATTATGTTGCATTATGCAGCAAAGTAATTTGTTCCTTGAAACACCTAAAAATGAACAAATACATTTCTGAGGCACAAGAACATGCATTTTATACTGTAGGCTAAGATTAATTTAGCATGACCAATAAAGTTTCAAAATCATATTAGGAAAGTGTGCCTGTTTTGATGGCTTGGATGTAAATATTTGATGTCATGAGGGAATGGAGACTACTATGCAGAAAGTAGCAAAATGGGGCAGAAATCAAGGATTTCATCATGAAGAACGCATTGCTATAAAATTAGTGGAAATGTAATATAAATTCACTGGGTTTGGAGATTTAAGCTGTTAACTTTTCAAACTTCTCTCTTAGCAGACGAGTTCAATCAGTATAAAGAACACAATGAGGCATGGAATTGTGTTGCATTATGCAGCAAAGTAATTTGTTCCTTGAAACACCTAAAAACGAACAAATACATTTCTGAGGCATAAGAATATGCATTCTATACTGTAGGCTAAGATTACTTTAGCATGACCAATAAAGTTTCAAAATCATATTGGGAAAATGTGCCTGTTTAGATGGCTTGGGTATAAAATTTATGATGTTATGAGGGAATGGAGCCTACTATGCAGAAAGTAGCAAAATGGGGCAGAAATCAAAGATTTCATGAAGAACTCATTGCTATGAAATGATAGGCCCTCTTTCTTTCTTGTCCATGTTGGGGAGATTTTGCCATACCATGTCTTCTTTTGTTTGTTTGTTTTAAAAATGTTCTTTTGGTACAGTTTATCTTTAGATTGCAAAACAAACAAACTAACAGCTAATTGGATGGTAAAAAACAATCAAATTGCCTCTAGAATTCCTTGTAAGAAAAGCTTTAACTCCTCTTTTTATTTTTATTTTTATTGGTTGTCTCTGTTGAATAATAACAATATTAGGCTTCTTTGTATTTTTCCTTTGCCATTTTTCTGCAGTGAGATTCTTTCCAACTTAATCCTCTCTCACCTGTAATTAACAGTGGATAACAATATCTTGACTCTCTTTCTCTGTTTTGCATAAGCAAAATTATGTGA